AAATGGTTTCAGAAGGAAAAATAATTCATGTTTGCAGCTGATACTTAACAATTATTCCACGAGCGCGCGTTGGATATGAGATGATAGATAGCCAACTCGGCGCTACCGCCTCGTTGGCTATAATCATCTCGTATCCAACAAACGCGAGTGGAATAATTGTTTTATTAAGAAAAAAAAAATGCCCCCAAGATATTAGACAAATCTTCTCGACTTCATTTTGTAAGAAGAAACCGGATGTTACAATGTATAGATATTAGATTATGGTATATTGGCTCATATACCATAATGGCTAAGCCAATGAAAAGTCTTGAATTGTATTATCCAATGATCTAGTTTTTAATAAAAACAATTCATCACATGGTCAATATTCTGAGTCCCAGGGCATAGTTTTTTTTTTAAATAACTTCTTTTTCGAGGCTAGACATGCAAGGACAAAGTTTTATCTTCAGAGACTCAAAATGGCTGTTTTATTTGACGTTGAGTGGTTCTGGTATTTAGCCATCTTTTTAGACAGGGAACTATTTGTTCCGTCAGTGAAGGCTTCCTGTAATTTATTTTACCCATTTGAAGTGGTAATTTTCGACAGGAATTTGACAACTTCCACGATTTTGTTATCGGAGACCATGGTGGTATTCTGGCAGCAGTCCCTCTAGTACGGAACGCTAAAAAAGTGTGGTAAGGTTTTTTTGGTTTGTTATGTTCGATCGCGATGATGCACATGAATGCCAGCTCGACATGTCCGTACGTAATTTTATATTTCTGGATAGCGCTGGCCAGTATTTGTTTTTTTCTTACCTAAATTGCAACAAGTGTCGTGTCGTTTTTCTACATTTTGCAGGTATAGTTGCACTGAAGGACAGACTTGGAAAAATGTCACTTTAGGAGTTGAACCGGTGACTGTTTTTGGCATGGTCACTGAGCCGGGAGGAACAACTCTAGTAATCAAGTAAGAAATTCCTAACACATATGCTCCGGTATAAATTGTAAACAAAAAAGAGGCGAATCACGCACTTTTTGCTAACTTCATTTCATTTCATTACATTTTTTTTTTTTGCGGTTAGCGCAAATAGTTAAAGTAAAAGATCTTCACGTTGTTGTTTCGGTGTCCCAGTGTAGATTATGTCCACTACACGAGGGATTAAACTCTGAGTCGTTTCGTGTTTACTCGCGTTTTCCCGCTTTTGAGGCTGGTTACCCGTGCCTACTTTGTATTGTCATTGATCCCTTCTGAAATTTTTCTTCATTCTGATTGGTTTGATTTGGTTCTGCGATACCCAATCGCAATTTGTTCTGCTGGTTTGTTTTGTATCACGCTCCTTGAACGTTGCTCCGACCAGCAATGTCGAAACCGTCCCGTGCAGGGAAAGAGAAACGAAATCAATCAAAGCAAGTGTACTATCGTTTTAGCAAATGGAAAAAAAAAAAAAAAGCCTGAGAAAATTCTTCCAGATACTAGTCGGGCGCTACTACCGACTGAGCCACGAAGCCACACAGTGGTAATCAATTCACAAACTTGTGATAAAGAAACTAAATCGTATTTCTTTTGAATTTACCAGTGTATTTGGTCAGCATTCACGCCACACATTTCAATGGCTCTCGGTGAAACTAGACTTCACGTCAGTTCTCAACAAGAAGTGTCAACCAGATAACTATACAACCTGGTCTCCCAACGATGAGGTAATGGTAACAACTAAGAATTGTTGTCCTTAGTGCGGTTTCCTATTGAGTGTTGAGAAATTGTTCCGTGAGTAATCTGTAACTGGGTTCGATTTGCTTCACGTTTCATTGTGATTGGTTTAAAAAACCCGCGCCATCCTCACAACCAATCAGAAATAAGTCTAATACCAAGCGCGACTCGGTAACTCTCGTTTTCCCGCGCTTTTTTATGAGTTCTTGTTCGTTTTCTTTCATTTTGAATCCTTTATCCTTTTCATGAGAAGGAAAACTCAATTAAGCTGAACTTTGTGTTGTTAGTTTAAAGCAAATGGCGTTGTACCGAAAGGGAAATATCAGTATTGTGATGTTGTATCGTTAAGAGTGGAATTTGTGAATTGACGAAACTGTTTTGCAGATTTTGTCTGTTCAAAATAGTGGTAATGGCTAGAACGATAGCACTAACGATTATAATAATTTTGATAATAATGATAGCAATAAAAATGATAATGATAATGATGATAATTATTATATTAATAGGGAATGATAAAGTAATCCAGCGATTTTATTTTGTTGACTAGATTGCGGTCATCCCACAGCAATCTCCTCCACTTAAGATCATTCTTAAGGTCATTTCTATCTCTCTGCTTTCTTCGTTTTACCTGTAGCGTATTGATGGCAACTGTTTATTGGGTCAACACTTTGTATATGAACGTCGTAAAAGCGGAGATTGCTGCTTCAACGGAGAGGAATACGAGAGAGAAATCAACATTACAACTTGCGCCTGTGAAGAGGATGATTTTGAATGGTGGGTTACAATCGCAGCGCAATTTTTTTGGCTGCAGGTTGAAAATTGATTTGATCTTTTGTTTCGCGGATTTGTTTTCCTGCTGGAACCTCTTTTTCGCGGATCGAAGTTTAACGCCCAAATGCACAACCTTGTCTTATCGCTTGATGATGACTTTGTACCACTCACTTTACTTACCATATAACGCGAATGATGTGATAAGCTGAGAGATACCCACACGCATTTTGTTCTTACTCACGATCTATTGGAGGACGAATGCAGAGGTGACGTCACCATTGGCAACATTTTACTTCTCTATCATGGAACACAAATAGATTTCATGTCGTCGTTGATCTCTACAGAAATAGATCACAGACTGAGATCAAAATGTGGTAAGAAAGTCATTGACAAACTCAGCTGCCGCCTTTTTATTCTTACCGCATTTGAACGTTACTTGTGATCTGTTGGTCAACAGGCGGACGGCAACGGATAGCGAGTAGCGTAGCCGATCAGACTGCAGCTTACAGGCTAGTAAGTCTATACTAATGTTGTTTTATATTATTATTTTTTATATAAGTGACTTTGGCTACGAACATTCACAGCTCTCTAAAGTGTGTAAGCCCACCATCGACGTTGATCTAGTACCAGCTCAATGCCCAGAGGGAAAAACGTATCAACACAGTCGAGGGTGAGTGATTAACAGCTTGAGAAGTTTTTATTCAATTTTAAATTCGTGTGATATTCCATCGGTTTTGCTCAACAACGTTATGAGATTGGTCTGCAAATGGCTGCCTTGTAACCGTTACAACGTTAAGGTTTCGAAGTAAAAACAACGAAAATGCCGGGATTGCGGGAAAACGCGAATAACCAAGTAGCTATTAGGTGACGTGAGTTTTTGTGGACCATTCACGAGTGGATGTCAAACAAAACCAAAACTGGAAATTGCTCTATTTTAACGGCTTATTACAACATTAGACAAGGGAAGGGGACAAAAAAAAAAAAAAAAAAAACATGTTGAATAGTGTTAGGTCCGTGTTGTAAGTGGTAACACGTTGGAACCACAATTTTCCACGTTTTTGAAAGGACTGTTGTGGAGCGTTTCAGTGTATTTTAGTAGTGTTAACACCTCTTCGTGCCCTTACAGTTACAGGAAAGTTGTCGGAGATCGCTGTAAAGGCGGAAGCGAAGATAAGTTGATGCCGGAGACAAGAAAATGCCCAATTAAAGGTATATGGACTATCTGTTGAATTCTTTTTTTTTTTGGCCTTATAGTCACATTGTTGATCTTAATGAGGTCGTGTTGCTGCAATTTGTGGAAGTTGTATTAAGGTACAATATTAGGAGATGCAGTTGAATTGTACAAGTAGCTCCGTATTGATAAATAACGTGCTTTTCGTTCGAGTGTCGTCAAAAGCAAAGTTATCTCAACGACCAATCACAGTCGAGGAAGATATCACAAGGATCCAATGAGAACTCAGAATAGAGACAAGCAAACTGCTTGTAGCTTTGTATCTGATTGGTGGAGTAGGCGGCGCAAGTCATCCAGACCAATCGCGAGCGAAGGGCAAGACTAATGCAATCCTGAAAATTGCTCCCATAACCGGTGAACAATAGCTGATTTTAAGACTACTTGTGGGACTGAGAACTTTAAAGATTCACAGCTTCTCCTCCACGATTCATGCAATTTTTTAGACCGCTGAACTTTGCAAATAACCAAGAGCGGATTGCCGTCAGATAAATGTTGCGTTAAAACTACTGTTACCGGCAAATAATTTGTGATTTGATCATTTCATCCTTGATTTACTTTATATTTGGTAGCCGTCATTCCCTTTTTGGAATTTTGCTTTCTTTAGCGCCTTCTGATCTTAGAATCAAGTTTGGAAAGTTGTACGTGGAAATAAACACGGAAGTGAAGTTTGTTCTCACTCAGGGACAGGTAGGGAGACTTTGTGCAAATGTGTTTGACTAGGTTGAATTTCACTGCTCCTTGCTTCAGAAACAGCGATCACCAGGGAATTATTTCTCAGACGAGGTTAAAGCGGTAGTTTAATAAAGTTCATTGTCCAAGCTGGAGGTTAATAGAAACATGTTTCGTTTGAAATTAGAGCGACTTTCT